GGACAGAAGTGAGATTTCTCAGGAAGGTCACTGTTTCAGAGGAGTATTATTTTATACCCATTGGGAAATACACTCTCACCCCACTTCATGCAGCATTTTATTGAGCTTTATGATGTACTGGGGAGGGCCCTGGTTCGTCTTAGCTGTCGAGTTCCTGTGCAGATCCAATCTTACTTGTGTTGGTGCAGTCAGTTTAATTTAAGAAATCAAATCCTACCCTATGGTGTTTGCTTTGCTAGAAATTAAGTCTGCAACAAGGCACTGATCCTGCCTTTACCCCTGTCAGGAAAAGGTGCACAGCTGCACTGACCACAACAGGACGTTTGTGACAGCAGGATCAGGGGCTTGTCCTTTAGCTCGCTTTTAATAAAATAAAGGGAATGGGAAATGTTTTGAGATAAAACAGTAGTAGAAACCCACTGACAATTCTGAGTTGTAATTCTTCCCTTTTAGAGGGCTCATTGACGCTAGGCTGGAAAATATGACTAAAGACCCATGTCATCAGGCAGCGATGCCCCGAGTGGGTCACGTCACCACTAAGTCAACACTTAGGGGGATTTAGGTCTTGCATCACCCTCTGCAACTGGGCTTCAGTGGGCTGAAGCAAAGCTCACTGAGGTCACTGGACATCTCACCAGCAATCTCACTTTCAGTAGGCATTGGACCAAGTCCTGAACTTACGGAGCATGGTCTGCAATTTGCTTTGATTTCTTCTTCGATCAATGCCATTTCGATTACTTACAGCATGTCTGTATTTATGATTTGTATATAAACACATTATACTTCTGTTACTGGTTCTGAAGTACAGGAGCGACTACAGCTACTAGAGATGTTACCGCACCGATGTGTTGTATCTGGCACTGCTTACAAACGTTGCTGTTTCACGGTCACAGTAATTGGTGTCTTACATTCCTTGTTGCCTGAAAACCACCTGAATATTGATCCCTGAGGTACCATTGCTCTCAACTAAAACGTTGTCCCAGGTTTTTACTTTCAGGAGAGAAAAACGAAATTCACCCAGGCCTTGAAGCTCACAAGCTGTTAGACCATGGATGTTCCTCCGAACAAATCCACGGGCTCACGTTTGCACTCGGGGAGCCACCGCGTGATTTAACGTCCGCAGGAGGGATCCCGTCACGCAAGCCTCATGCCACCAGCCACCCCACCCCGGACGCCTGGCACTATGCAGCCCACCCTCCTCCGGCTTTTCCTTTCCTCATCTTGGGAGGGAGTGAGCATTCAGCCTGGAAATACTATCTGCTGAGATATGGAATAGGTCTTCTCCCTCCTTGTCTCTCCTGCAACCTGTGCTCAATACTTTATTGCTACTGCTACAGCTTGCCTCTTTTGAGTGATGCCTTTTGAATGCTTTGGCCCTTATCTTGTAAGTAAAAGCTTGTATTTGTTTTCTGTGAGATTCTGGTGAGAGGTCTCCTTTGGAGCCAGCCATTCTTAGTTGGGCATTATCAGTGAGCCCAGACAGAAATCATTTCTGACTCTGAGTTACAGAAGGTCTGCAAGCGCAGGGGGGTTCCTCCTCATCACAGGCACAATTTAAAGAGGCTGCAGAATTACCCAAGTTTTTGTTCTTCCACTAACTAGTTGAAAATATTTTCCTTAAAGCGTTCACTACACAGAAGTAGTGTTCAGGAAGAGCCAAATCCTGTTCGCAGCTGCCTAAGCATAAATCCATGTGAATGCAACAGAATTACAGCTTTATTTAAAATAATTAAGACAAAAAAAAGGGGGTTCTGATAGTGGGCAGAAAAATTTGAAAGTGTGGCCTCAAGGTTCAAACCAGGGGAAATAAATAGTACCCAGATAGTTGTGTTTTTAGCTTGTGGCTTGTAGGCTGGGACAGCTGGAGTATTGTTGAGGTGTCATTACATTACAGTTGACTGGCTCAGTGTTTAAATATGCAAGTGGGTTAAATGTGATGTCTAAATAACATGGGTGCATTTTTTAGGGGGAAAAAGAAGGTAAGAAAACCAGTGTATGCTGGTTTTGGTCTTATCCTCAATTTCTTTAATGCCAGTTGCCACATTTGACCCATGTGGAAAACCTCAGAGGAAAAGCCCAAGGGTACAACAGGAGAGGGCTACAGTAAAATGCACGTGTGATGCGTCACCACCTGAAGCAAAAGGCAGCGTGACAGCCAATTTCCAGCATGACGATAAACGTACCCTAATTTGCCACTGCCCCTTACGTGCCCGACCTTGCTGCCCCTTCCCTGCGCACGTGCTTGCCTGCAGCCCAGTGCCCCGCCAGGACGCCCGCTGAATTCGGCGCCAGGGCTACGCCTGCGCTGCCTTTCGAGGAGGTCGCTCCGGCTGGTGCCTGCAGCGGAGCCGCTCCCCAGGCACGTCGGGAGCGGTGCAGAGGTACCCGCGAGGGCTTTGGGAGGATGGGGTAAGAGCGGGTGAAATTCTTGCTCCGCTGAAGTCGGCGTCGGCATTGCCAGCGCCGCCATCCAGCACGCACAGGCGCGGATTTTGTCTCTTACGATGAAAGCTGGTAGGTTGGTTGCAACCCACCCTGTTTTCTGCCTGTGTGGAACTTAGGCTGCGAGCCCTTGCCCTGCTGTGGTGTCGCTTACTGGTAAAGTTTAGGGGGGTTTTAAATCGTTAGCCATAAGCCTCAAATTAGCAGGAGGCGTGTGAGGCTCCCTCCCCGCTGCTCAGATTAAAAGGCAGCTGGACACGGCGGCTCTGTTCGAAGCAGCGCAAAGCCTCCACTGACTTCACAGGGTCCAAGATTTCTGCCCCAGCTTCAGCTCTGGATGCCGGACCACTTCCACCCCCTCTTGCTTTATTTGAGAGACCTAAGACACGCAGGATTGAGGGTCTAAATGGCACGGTGGTGGGCTTCTGCTAATGCTTCTCATCTAACTGCAGTCAACTCTAATTTTGCCTTTTCCACTCTTAACTGGTCACCATAATCTGCTTCTTAGCCAGGGCAAAATTAAGCATGAGGAAAAAGGCTTATTCAACATTATAATTATCTACTCCCAAGCTGTATAACAAAATGGTTTACACATTTAATTGGTTTTGTCTAATATTAATTTCCACGTATACAGTAGTCCTATTAATGAATATCATAGCTTCATTACTGCATATCACATTTTGCTATTTGTTGTGTACCATAAAATAACGTCAGCACATCAATAACTTAAATAACACAAATGTAAACTCATTTTCTGCTTGTTATAATTATGGTTTTAGCCTGCAAAGGCTTTTTGATTGGTAAGACCATTCACATAACATGGAATGTAACTTTATTTGTTTTTCTTTTGTATATAATGAGACACCAAAAGCCCTTGTCATCTCTTAACAGGATACTAAAGCAGCTCTGTTTCATGAATGACAGCACAATTAAAGCTAAAAATCATAATTTAAAAAAAAAAAACAAAAACCCTTTGTACTGTACAATCTCAAATTAAAGCAAGAAAGATAATGACAATCTTTTGCATTAGCCAGGAAACGTGATTCTCTGCCACTGGGCTTTTTTTTCTTTGTTGACAATTCACAGAATGTGTATATGGGTGTAGTTATAGGTGTGTGTATATCCTATGCAGAACAGCAGTCCCTATTTTGTTGATCTAGTTCTTCTGGTTGTTTAGTTAAACTACCTAACTGATACGATTTAGAATACTACATTAACACATTTAACATCGAGTTTACATACTTGCGTCTTGGAAATACTAGGAACTCTTACACATTTTATTTGGCTTTGTAAAGACTGGAATATCACAGATAATGCAATCTACTTGTCTTTGAAAGAATATGGCTGTTCTCAACTAACTCTCTAAGGTTCAGAGTGAAATACGTTTCTCCTTATATCTGTAGCTGACAGAGAAGAAAGAGAGTC